ACTTCTCGATCTTTGGCTAAAAATAGATCAAGTGTAGTATCTGTCTGATCAGTTTAATATCTGATCCGTGGTCCATCAGACCACAGCAAGGGGAAAAAAAAAAAAAAAAAAAAAAAAAAAAAAAGAAAGAAAGAAAGAGAGAGAGAGAGAGGAACGGAAAAAAGTGAGGTGTCCATGAGGGAACAGAGGGGCAAAAAGTGACAGTATTGCCGCCCTCTTCCCTTGACGTCTTCCTCTCCTTCCTATGGAGACCCGGCAAGAAATGAGCTAAGATTAAGAAGGAAAAAAAAAGAAACGAGCTGAGATCCGTTTGATTTCTGGGAAAATTTAATAATAATAATAATAATAATAATAATAATAATAATCTGTTTGATGGGAGAAAAAATCGTTGAACTTTCGGCCGGAGGCGGCAACCCCGGACCTAGCGTTGTTGAATGCATTCACAATTTCATATACTCTTTTTTTTTTTTTTTTTTACATTCATATGCTTAGCACCCACACACACACACACACACACACACACACACACATGTTAACAGCGTTTTTTTTGTTTTTTTTTCAAGGACACAATGATTAATAACCCCTTTATATTCTGGGGGGCACCAGTCCCGTTACTTATCACCAGCAAGCATAAAAAGTTAAAAACACGCAAATAAACAGAGTCCGAGGCATCATAATGATCTTGAAACCGCTTTCCAAGGAGAGGGAGGCTACCTAAAGTACCCAGTCCTACTCAGCATTTCTACCCCATTAAGAAGCATAACCCTCCCTACCTGCAGTCTCTATTGTCGACCCCATAAGGAGAAAGACAGAACTACAACTGCAGTAAGTCAAATAATCATAACCCATGTAATGAGAACTCCATATCTTCCTATCCCAGAATGGGCCCCTTAGGGGGGGAAGGGCTTTCAGAAAACAGAGCACTTTCTCCCAAAAAAAAAAAAAAAAAAAAAAAACATTTACAGCAACAGTGTTCTCAGCCCACAGCGACCACTACATTACCCCTCTGCTTCCCTTGGTCCTGTCTCTTATACACATCTAGATGTGTATAAGAGACAGGCATTACCCCTCTGCTTCCCTTGGTCGACATTAACTCACAAGCTGACAGCGTTTTCAACAACCCACAGCGCACACCAAACAAAGAACCCACATTAACTCCCAAGAAGGGAACAAACAAAACAAAACAAAACTAAATAAAACAAAACTAAACAAAACAAAACAAAACAAAACAAAACAAAACAAAACAAAACAAAACAAAACAAAACAAAACAAAACAAAACAAAACAAAAAGACCTCCCCACATCCCCACCTCTCTTAATCTATAATACAGTAATAAACGTGCGTCAGGTTTCCTGTCTGATTGGAAGATTCGTCCATGTTAAACCACTGCAGTACTTCCTAAAGTCGAGCCCGTAAACAAGCCACACCTTTAGGAAAGGTACGGGCCACTACAGGAGCGTCCGAGTTCATCCGACTAGAAACGTTTCTACTCTATTTTTTTTTCCCACAAGACAGATAGCTGGGCCAAGTACTGGTGGTTTAACACACAAGTTAACATCGTTTCCGACGCACAGCGAGCACCAAACAACCCTCCCCTCCCCTCCCCTCCCCTCCCCTTCCTTTCCTTTCCTCCCTCCCTCCCACGTCCTACCTCCCTCTCTTTCACTTAATTTGTATACATAACAGGAGACACTGTGCGAGATTCGCTGTCTGCTTCCTTGACAGCGGAAGGGCGATATCATAGTGAAGCGTTATTCCATATCACAGCAGCGCAGTTATTTCACCAAGTACCTCATTGGCAGAGCATACTCTCATATGCCGAGAGACTACTTTCCAACGCATTTCACCCGTGATTACGGCCCTATTCATTCAAGGCAGTCCATTCTTCCCCCCCGGCTGACATCCCACTTGCAAGCATTACGAGATACAATCAATCTCATTTTCATTTTCATTTCCATTTTCCATTTTTCGTTTTTCGTTTTCAGTTTCATTTGGAAATCGCCTCAGGGGGGAGCCCCCCCTTGCCGTTGGGAAAAACAAGCTTCCTCCCCGGCCGGGGACGAGGTCCCACTAAGTAGCAAAGGGGATTGGATTAAGCGCCTGAATCTGGATGGGTTTGGAGGAGAGATGCAGAGAAGCAGATCAATCGCGATTTTCTGCACCTCGCCACAAACACGTCTAGATTCAGCCGTTCAATCCAATCCTCTTTGCTAGTGGGGGACCTCGCCCCGGGATGAGGTGAGGTTCCCCCTCGCACTGATTGAGAGATGCGCAGTGTTTTTTTTTTTTTTTTTTTTTTTTTTTTTCGCAGTGTTTTACTGTGCGCCCGCAGATAACGACGATCGGCGGTCCGTATCTCTTATTAGGCGATATTCACACTAGACGGCTTTTCTTGGACGTATCTGACCACAATTACAGCCCGACTTGAATGTATATGACCACAATTACGTCCAGAACTCAGTCCAAAAAGTCGATTGCTGTGAGTATGCCCCTTACTGTGTGCTGCCTGCTAGTTCTACATCGCCGCCCACCAAAAATACGAATGAGGCGCAGTGCGCCGGCGGCGGAATGAGGCGGAGGCGGAATGCGCCTGCTGGTCGTGCATCGCCGCCGGCCAAGAGATGACAATCGACTCTCCCTCGTTTCACTTCACTTCTCATTGCGCCGCCACAGCAGCGGCGGCAGCAGCGGCGGCGGCGGCGGCGGTGGCGGCGGCATACACATACAATGCACGCCCGCGGAGTGAATTCATCGAAAGAACGAAATTTGAGCACGCCGATTTTGGAAATACCGATTTTTTGCCGATCAACGGTAACATCCCAAAGATTCGATTTTCGACTCAACGGCTAACGACCACCCAACCACAAATCGAATTTGATTTTTGAACCGACACCAAAAACACCAAAACACTCCAACAACTTGATTCTCGAACCAACGGCTAAAAACCACCAACGGATCTCAACGGATGCATTCCCAAGAGTCTCAAAAGCCCGATGCATTCCCAAGCCCCGATGCATTCCAAAGCTACGACAACGTACTGTACTGTAGTCCGCAGAGTCCCCTACCTAACTGATTACACTGTAAGTGATAATCCACCGTAACCCCGGTAGTGGTTAAGCATCAACGAGCGAAGATGGTGTTTTTTTTTTTTTGTTTTTTTTTTTTTTTTTG